TTAAAAAAAAAAAAAGAAAACTAGAAAAAGGGAGAAAAATCCATATTCTACCACCCAAAGTAATCACCATTACTGTGTTTCTTCATCTTTTCCCCTATGCATAACTGTTCATATATTTTAAACTCTTGACCATGCTTGGTTAATAATGTAATTACTATAAATACTTTATTTTATTTTAAAGATTTTATTTATTTATTTGAGAGAAAGAATGAGAAAGAGAGAACATGAGTGGGGGGAGGGTCAGAGGGAGAAGCAGCCTCCCCACTGAACAGGGAGCCGGATGTGGGACTCCAGGATCAGGACCCGAGCTGAGGGCAGTTGCTTAACCAACTGAGCCACCCAGGCGCCCTACTATAAATATTTTAAATAAACTGGATCATGGTCTCAGCTTGGCTAGAAATGCATTTGTATCATTTTAAATAGATCTTTAAAGGTGTTTGGTAAATATTTATTAAATGAAATACGTGAATCCTTGTCCCTCTCTGTGCCTCAATTTTCCCATGTCTCAAGCAGGATAAACTAGTTTACAAGAGGTTTGTGAGGATTAGTGAAAAACTGTAAATGTTCAAAGCAGCTAGGTCTTGTCATAACTCTCCTGGCTATAATATCACATTTTTTTTTTCCTAGAGAGCACTGCTAGAAAAGAAGCAGAGAAGAAAGCGCTTTGAGCCACTCATGGTACAGCCAAATCCAGAAGTAAAGCTATGTCAATCAAAGCCAAGAGGTAGCAAGGAGCAAACGCCTTTGGTGGAACCTCATACCCCACAGAACGATGTTATCCTACAAGGTGTGTGTTTAGGCAGCATCTCTTCCCACTAGGGTACAGTTTTCATAAACCTAGGAGAAGGCAGGAAGATTCTCAGATGGACCAGAGGGACAATATTAGCATCGTTGTTAGGTACCTTCATAAATTTTCATAATCACGTTCTGGGTCTTTGAATTAAAATAAAAGCAGTGGTTTAATTAGTGGAAGATACCTTGAAGTTTGTGTCCATCTTAGAGCTATTGTTTTCATTGCCAAATGAATTAGTCCAGAATGGCCTATTTGAGGAACTTACAGTCTTGACTGTCACATCATGGCAGAGTTAACCGTGACGCTGGGAGTGGTAGAGAGCACCCATTCTTCCAAAAGATAGGACTCCATGGGCCACGTGAGGTGGTGCGCTGTTGACTTGGACAGGATCAGTGTACAGTTCACTTACAGTGAACTGTAAGTGTACAGTTCAGTGACATTAAGTACATTCATGTTGTTATGCAACTATCACCACAATCCATCTCCAGAACTTTTTCATCTTCCCATAATAAAACTCTGTATCACTAAGTAATAACTCCCCATTCTTCTGTCCCCTGTCAGTGACATTAAGTACATTCATGTTGTTATGCAACTATCACCACAATCCATCTCTAGAACTTTTTCATCTTCCCATAATAAAACTCTGTATCACTAAGTAATAACTCCCCATTCTTCTGTCCCCTGTGTCCCTGGTAACCACTATTCTATGAAATTTCTGTCTCTGTGCATTGACTACTCTAGATTTCTCATATAAGTTTGGCGGACCTACTTTGTTTTCACTGTCTCATTCTTTAATTTCTAAAGCATGACATCAAGTACATTTTATTTAGTAACAGTCAGAACATGTTAATAAAACGAACACCAGTCTGAGTTACTCTACTAACAAACGTCTGCGTGGATGTTAAGGAAGGAGAAGTGAAATGCTTTGGTGGTTCTTAATTCTGATCACATACACCAAAACCACCCTGCCAAATAACAGATAATACTTTCCTCTTTTTTCCTCTCTTTTGGACCCTAGGCATTGATGGTCCAGCGGCCCTCTTGAAGCCAGATGCTCAAGATTTGGAAACCAAACTTCATGTTCTCTCAGTAGGCTCTTCTGCTACAGAAGAGGATACAGAAGGAAGTGTTGATGGGGAAAGCACTTTGGAGACTGTGTCCAAGCCAGATCTCCAGGAGATTCTCCAAAAACGTGGTGAGGATTGGTAATGATTGTAAGGCAGTTAATCATCTTAGCCACGTATAATAATCTTTTCCTTTCCTTTCTTTCATTGTCGGTTAATGAGCTAGATGATTCAAAACTGCTTGGAATATGGCTTATGGCTTTACAGAGGGGACAGTATTAGGTATCTTTGACATCTGAGAATTGACTGTTGTCGACCATGGTAGTATTTACCCTATTGCCTGAGAAAAATAAGATAATTACACATAAATTATCAGCAGCATTAGCTACTATATGTGGCTATTTCTTTTTGACATTTTATTTTAGTTCCCACTCCTTTCTTTTAACAAAATTGCCACTCAACACCCCTACTCAGCCTCCGTTTCACAGTTGTTTTTTTTTTTTTTAAAGATTTTATTCATTTATTTGACAGAGAGAGACACAGCGAGAGAGGGAACACAAGCAGGGGGAGTAAGGGAGGGAAAAGCAGGCCTCCCGCTGAGCAGGGAGCCTGATGTGGGACTCGATCCCAGGACCCCGGGACCATGACCTGAGCCGAAGGCAGACACTTAATGACTGAGCCACCCAGGCACCCCTAAAGGGGACTCTTGAGTGGAAAGGAAAGACTAAAAATGACAGTATGAGGGTAGGAAACACAAAAGCAGTAAAAAATATTTCTGTAAAAAATCAGTTAAGGAACTCACAAAATTAAAGGATGTAAAATATGATACCATATACCTAAAATTTGGGGAGGAGAGGAGTAAAGAATAGGTTCAAACTTAAACGACCACCAATTTAATATAGATTGCTATATGCTATATACAAACTTAATGGCAACCACAAATCAAAAACCACTAATAAACATGCAAAGAATAAAGAGAAAGAAATCCAAATATATCATTAAAGAAAACCAGCAAACCATGAAAGGGAGAAAGACAAGAAAGGATTAGAGAAAAATCTTCAGAAACAACCACAAAACAAGTAATAAAATGGCAATAACATAAAATTTATCATTTTAGCCATTTTTTTAAGTGTACAGTTCAGTGACATTAAGTACATTCATGTTGTTATGCAACTATCACCACAATCCATCTCCAGAACTTTTTCATCTTCCCATAATAAAACTCTGTATCACTAAGTAATAACTCCCCATTCTTCTGTCCCCTGTGTCCCTGGTAACCACTATTCTATGAAATTTCTGTCTCTGTGCATTGACTACTCTAGATTTCTCATATAAGTGGAATCATACATTTGTACTTTTTTAAAATATTTGTTCTTTTGTGACTGGCTTATTTTACTTAGCATAAGGTCCTTCAAGGTTCACCCATGTGTAGCCTGTGTCAGAATTCCATTCCTTTTTAAAGCTGAGTAATATTCCATTGTATGTATATACTACAATTTGTTTATCTGTTCATCAGTTGATGGATATTTGGGTTGTTTTCACCTTTTGGATATTGTGAATACTGCTGCTGTGAACATTGGTGTACAAGTTTGTTTGAGTCTATGCTTTCTATCCTCTTGGTATATACCCAGAAGTGGAATTGCTGGATCCTGTGGTAATTCTATATTCAAATATATGGGGAACCACCATACTGTTTTCCACAATGATTGCACCATTTTACACTGCCACCAGCAATCCACAAGGGTTCCAATTTCTCCATATCCTCGCCAATACTTATTTTCTGTTTTTTTTGATAATAGACATCCCAGTGCTTTTTAGTGTATCTCATTGTGATTTTGATTTGCATTTCCCTAATGATGAGTGCTGTTGAGCATCTTTTCTTTTTTTTCTTTTTCTTTTTTTAAAAAATTTATTATGTTATGTTAGTCACCATACAATACATCATTAGTTTTTGATGTGGTGATCCACGATCCATTGTTTTCATTTAACACCCAGTGCTCCATGCAGTACGTGCCCTCCTTAATACCCATCACCATGAGCATCTTTTCATGTGCTTATTGGCCATTTATATATCTTCTTTGAAGAAATGTCTATTCATGTGCTTTACCCATTTCTGGGTAAAGGGTTATTTGTTGTTTGTTTTGTTGTTGTTGCTGAGTGTGTGTTGTAGGAGTGCTTTATCTATTCTGGGTATTAATCCTTTATGGAAAGGGAAAACAAGGGATAGATCTGAGTGAGAATACGAAGAAAGAATTGTCAAAATTTGGATGAAGTAGCTATGTTTTAATCAGAAGAGCTGGAATGTTTTACACAAGAAAATTAAAATTATATTTGGTTCGACGATTTATTTTTTAAACCAGTGTTGGCAGTTTTTGACAGTTCTTCCTTTCTGCCAGGTATCTCAAGTAGTTTGAACTTTGATGAAGAGGAGACCGATGGAGAGGAAGAAGGGAAAAAATTATGTCATTCACCATATTCAGAGGCAGAGAGACCCAATTCTGCATCCAGCCAGAAATCAACCACAGTATGTAGTTCTGAAACTTCTTCCTGGGGGGAACTATTTCCCAAATGTATCTCTAGTATTTAAACAGGATTACTGAATGAGGGTTCCTTCAAAAGACTGAAGCTCAAATTTAGACTTGAAGTTCATGACCTCCCTAATTTCTTGTGTCTCAAGCCAGCTCTTGTGAAGTTATATCCCACTTTTGTACTTCGCTCCTTCATTACTCCCAATATTCACATACTTATTTAACTTCGCAGAGTTTCCCCTTATTTTGTCAGAAGACTAGAGACATTGGGGTAAATCACGAAATTATTTCGCCCGTTGTTTCTGGAAGAGAATAAGAAGTTTTCTGATTCCACCTCCTATTGCTCATGTATATGGCTGTTCTTTCAGGATGCGGGAGCTTCCGGTACTGCAGCTCAACAAACAGATAACCAGCTGGGAGAAGTGGAGAACTTAGAGGACTTTGCATATAGTCCTGCCCCTCGGGGGATTACAGTCAAGTGTCGGATAACCAGGGATAAAAAAGGAATGGATCGGGTTCTCTTCCCCACTTACTATATGCACTTGGAAAAGGGTGAAAATCGGAAGGTATGAGAACTGATTCTTAAGACAGATCTTGAGATAGAGGGGGAGAATGTTGTAGGACTAGATTGTTGAAGGATGTTGGGATAGGAAAATAGCACTGGTTTCAGACCAAGTCAGCAACTCCCAGTTACTGTGTTCTGTATTCAAAGAGCTCAGAGTCTCAGAGGTAAAATCTACCCCACCCCAAAGAAAGAGTTTTATCCAGAATATAAGAAAATGGAAGAGAATATTTGAATGTAATTATTTGCACCTCTATCCTATTTTTTGGTGGAAGGGAGGGTGTTACTGTGTGTTCTTTGGTTTTTATTTTAATTATGGTAGAACATGACACTGTGCAAGTTTTAGGGAATAGGGGAACTGGAAATAGAGAAGGACATGTGAGTGAAATGTCTTATTTCTCACTCTAGAAATTCTAATTTACTTCAAACACAAATTTGAGGCAACTTAATACTTGCTAATGAACACTGTATTTTGTTTTGCTACCGAGTCTAAATGGATGATATTAAGAGCATAGAAAGGAGATGATGATTGATACCATTCTTATTATAACTGCTAACTTATTGTTTATGATGTACCAGGCATATGCTAAGTGCTTCGTGTATATATTATCTTCTATAATCCTTATCACAACTTTGTAAGAGAGGCTTTCTTATCCCTGCTTTATAGATGAGTAACTGGGGCTTAAGGAGTGACATACCTGCCCCAAATCCCACTGATAAGTGGCAGAGCCAGAGTCAAACCCCTATCTGTTTGATCCCACAGTCCCTTCCTTAGCTGCTGCCATTCTCCTGCTTCCCTGTTGTTGTCCAAATCTAGTAGGTTTGGGAAGGATGCACAAGTGTGACAGTATTCATGCCACTGAAGTCACAGGGGTTTAAAACAACAACATATGGGGCGCCTGGGTGGCTCAGTTGGCTGAGTGTCTGCCTTCAGTTCAGGTCATGATCCCAGGGTCCTGGGATGGAGCCCCGCATCAGGCTCCCTGCTCTGCAGGAAGCCTGCTTCTTCCTCTCCCTCTGCTACACCCCAGGGAGCCTGCTTCTCCCTCTCCCTCTGCTGCTCTCTCTCTTTCTCTCTTTGTCAAATAAATAAATAAAATATTTTTAAAAAGTACAAAAAGGAATATGAGGAAACCAGCTGCGGTAAAGAATGGGAAGGGTGCGGGGCGCCTGGGTGGCTCAGTTGGTTAAGCGACTGCCTTCGGCTCAGGTCATGATCCTGGAGTCCCGGGATCGAGTCCCGCATCGGGCTCCCTGCTCTGCGGGGAGTCTGCTTCTCCCTCTGACCCTCTTCCCTCTCATGCTCTCTATCTCTCATTCTCTCTCTCTCTCTCAAATAAATAAATAAAATCTTTAAAAAAAAAAAAAAAGAATGGGAAGGGTGGGTGTCCAGTGTCCTGTCGCTCCTGAAGTTGGAAGGACCCTTCCTCGCCAAATTGGATATAGCTTTTTTGAAAAAGCCACTGGAGGTTTTAGGGATAAAGTTGTACCTAGTTGCAGTAGCCGCCTCTCCCCCTCCCCGCCCCGCCAATGTTTTGCTTTCTGTGGTTTCAGTCACCTGCAGTCACTGCCATTTGGAAGCAGATAGGCCCTTCTTCTGACATAGGTTCGGCAGGTCAATAGTAGCCTAACACCCCCTCTCTTTATCTCATCACATAGGCATTTTAAAATCTCACATCAGCATGAGAAGAAGGGGAGTACAGTACAGTGAGATATTTTGAGAGAGAAAGACCACATTCATATAACTTTTATTATAGTATATTGTTAGAATTATCATGTTATTGTTGCTAGTCTCTTGCTATGCCTTATGTATAAATTAAACTTTGTCATATGTATGTACAGTAAAAAACATAGTTTGTAGAGCATTCAGTAGGCATCCACGGGGGGTCTTAGTGGATAAGGGGGGTCTATTGTATATGGAGAATCCAGCTAAGTGAATTTTGAAAGTTGTACAGTAGGAAAACCCTGATAGTGAATTCTGAGAAGCATTATAAGGGTTAGAAAAAGAGATAAAGCCCCCAAGATTGGTCTTCTCCAAGAAAGCACCAAACGGCAGATGAGACCAGTGCCTCCGGAGGCCCTGGGATGGGAGGCCACGTGGCTGCATGGCCTCCACAGCCGTCAAGGCCAAGGAACTCATGGCAGCAAGAGCAAGGATGAGGAGTGGATGCCTCTCACCAGCCTCAGTTGTCTGGGCAAGGACATGAAGTTCAGGTCCCTGGTCCGCCTGCCCATCAGGGAATCTGAGGTCATTGAGGTTTTCCTGGGATCTTCCTTCAAGGATGAGGTTTTTGAAGATCATGCCATTGCAAAAACAGACCCATGCTGGTGGGCAGACCAGGTTCGAGGCATGTGTTACCATCAGGGATCACAGCAGACACATGGGTCGGTATTAAATGCTCCAGTGAGGTAGACACTGACATCCGTGGGACCATCATTCTGGCCACGTTTTCTAGTCCCAGTGCAGCAAGGCCTCTGGGAGAACGAGATCAGCAAGCTCCACACCATCCCTTGTAAGGTGACTGGATGCTGCAGCTCTGAGCTGGTGGGCCACATCCCCGGCCCCGGGGGCCCTGGCACCATGTGGGCTGCTGTACCTCCACGGGGGACTGCATAGCCACCCTGGGCAACATCGCCAAGGCCACTTTGGATGCCATCTCCAAGACCTACAGCTGTCTCATCCCGACCTCTGGAAAGAGACCATGTTCACCAAGGCCCCCTGTCAGGAATTCACTGACCGTCTTGTAAAGACCCATACCAGAGGTTCTGTGCAGAAGACCCAGGCTCCTGCCGTGGTCACCACATAGTTTGTATACAAGAAAAATGAAGGTGAATTAAGCCTGTTAAAAAAGACCAAAAGAGTGACTGCTTGGTACATGATAGGCACTTGTTAAACATTTGTTAAGTGAATAGTTAGACCGTGGTGGTTCTCTTGATATTCTTGACTGACATTTTTTTCTTTTTCCAGGTATTTCTTCTTGCAGGTAGGAAGCGGAAAAAGAGCAAAACATCCAACTACCTTATCTCCATTGATCCAACAGATTTATCTCGTGAAGGGGGAAGTTATATTGGCAAACTCAGGTGAGAGCAACCTTGTATCACTGACCTATTCTTTCTGATATTTTTATTCCTGTAGTTTCAGAGCAATCTGTATCTTTTTTTTACAGTGAGTATGTATTGATATTGTAATCTTAAAAAAAAAAGTTAAATGAAAATCTAAGTCCCTTCCTTTAATTTTAATGAGAGATCTTTGAAACAGTGGCGATGAACATTTGGAAAACAGGCAGATGGGCTTCCATTCTGTTCCATACCTGTCCTAGATTTGTATTTGTGCAGGAGAAAAAAATATGGATCATTAATGGTAACTCTTTCCTCTTGATTCTAGATCCAACCTCATGGGGACCAAGTTCACAGTTTATGACCATGGTGTTAGCCCAACCAAGGCCCAAGGTCTGGTAGAGAAGGCCCATATCCGGCAGGAGCTGGTAGCCATTTGTTACGTATGTGCCATTCTCGTAATGCTCTCTTTTCCCGAGTCTTTTCCCTGATTTCCTGGGTGTTCTGCTGGCACTTTAAACATAACCAACACTGAACTCACGGTCTTCCTCCCAAGCTTGTTGCTATTTCTCTGATCCTCCTTTTCTGTTGCTGGTTGCTTTTTTCCCTGTATATTCAAGTTTTAATCATTTACGAATTGCCAAGTTTGGTTCTTTTTAATTTTTTTTTTAACATTTCTTGTCTTACCTGCTCTTTCATTTTCCTAATGCCATTTTATTAACTTGGTCCTTCATCACCTTTACCCACTGGCCAGAGGTTACAACAAAGTAGACTGATCTCTCTCTCTCTTTCTTTTTTTAAGATTTTTAAGATTTATTTATTTGAGAGAGAGAGTGAAAGAGAGAGAGCACAAGCAGGGCGAGGGGTGGAGGGGATCATGACCTGAGCCGAAGGCAGACGCTTAACCGACTGAGCCACCCAGGCGCCCCTGTTTATTTATTTTTAAAGACTTATATACTTGAGAGAAAGAAGAGCATGGGGGGGGGAGGATCAGAGGGAGAGGGAGAAGCGGAGGGGCCCCCCCACAATGTGGGGTTCAATCCCAGGATCCCGAGACCATGACCTGAGCCAAAGGCAGATGCTTAATGACTGAGCTACCCAGGCACCCCAAGATTTACTTATTTGAGAGAGAGAGAGAGCACATGTCTGCACATGCACACGTAAGTGGGGCAGGGGCAGAGGGAGAGAATCCCCAGGTAGACTGCGCTTAGTGCGGAGCCCGATGCTAGGCTCCATCTGAGGACCCATGACATCATGACCTGAGCCAAAACCGAGTCGGATGCTTAACTGAATGAGCCACCTCAGTGCCCTAATGTAATGAATTTATGTATGTATATATTGCAAAATGATCATCACAGTAAGTCTAGTTAACATCCATTACCACCCATGGTTACAGTTTTTTTTCTTGTGATGAGAACTTTTACGATCTACTCTCTTAGCAACTTTCATATATACAATACAGTATTATTTTTTTAATTTGTATAGCTAACACACAATGTTGTATTAGTTTCAGGTATACAGCTTAGGGACTTGACGGGTTTATACATTATGCTATGTTCATCACCAGAATAGCTACCATCTGTCCCCATACATCACTATTACAATACTGGTGACCATATTCCTTATGTGGACATAGGCATTTGAATTTTTTACCTCCTGGTACAGGCCCTATGTAAATTAAGCTATAATTCTCATTGTGTATCATATAGTGCCATGCCCTTATTGGGAAATAAATATTTATTGATGATGACAAATTTGGACAGTTTGCTCACAATTGTCTCAAATTTCACTTAAGACTCAAGAGTAAGAATAAAGGTTCAAGCCAATAGAATCTGTTTTAAATTCAAGTGTTCACATTAGGTTTAAAAGGAGGTACAGTATTGCTTTTCTTTTTTTGAATCCCTGTCTCTCTTCGTTTACCTGCAGTAAAGAAAAAAAATCGTTTTTGGTGTTTTTGACATCATCATTGGACATTTTACATGCCCAAGAAAATCTTGTGTTAAGAATGTGGTCTCTTTTTCCTTTCTGTTCCTGAGTCCCTGCCTTATTCTCCTATCTTCCAGGAAACAAATGTACTTGGATTTAAAGGTCCTAGGAAAATATCTGTGATCATTCCAGGGATGAATATGAATCATGAACGGATCCCCTTTCAGCCACAAAATGTAAGTAAGAACATATTTAATCAGCAAGGGAGTCTGAAGGATAAGAATACAATACAGACAAGATCAATACAAAAAAGTATTGATTCTTGGAGAACCCCAAGTTGGAGTATGGCTCATACCCTTCTTTAGGAGAGTGATCACTGCAGAACAGCAAGGTAAGTTGCAGAGTAGTTGCAAAAGTGGTTGATTTGAAACTGCTTAGTCTGCAAGAGAAATGCTAGATAATCCATCAGAATTTTAAAATCTGCCTTAACTTTTGGCTTTCTTTGTTCCTGTTGTACCCTTCCTGAAACGGAGAAAATACTCCCCTACTCCACCTTCTACCTCACAGTGTTGAGAGCGAATGATTTCCTATGGTTCTTAGTACAAAGCAATGATTTTCTCTTCAAACAGGACCGCGAGAGCTTGCTTTCCAAATGGCAAAACAAAACCATGGAGAACTTGATTGAACTGCACAACAAGGCCCCAGTCTGGAACGATGACAGCCAGTCATACATCCTGAACTTCGATGGCCGGGTCACTCAGGCATCTGTGAAGAACTTTCAGATAGTCCACGAGAATGACCGTAAGCCTGCAGGAAAGGTTGGGCAGGAATAGGAGGAAAGATGTTCTTACACGGTGGGGAAATGAGCACTTCTTATCATTGACAGGAAGTTCTATTCAGGGGAGAATTATTTAAGAAAGAAATTATTTCTTTGGAAAGACTCAAGTGCAGTTTTATTTATTTATTTTTATTTTTTAAAGACTTATTTTTGTATTTTGGGGTGGAGAGGCAGAGGGAGAGGGAGGGAGAGAATCTCAAGCAGGCTTCATGCCCAACATGGAGCCACACATGGGGCTCGATCTCACAACCCTGAGATCATCACCTGAGCCAAAATCAAGAGTCAGATGCTCAACCCACTGAGCCACCCAGGCGTCCCTAAAGTGGCAGTTTTAAAGTAAAAACTCTGAACCACTGTTTGGGAAGTAGATGGAATGGCCCCCACTCAGTAAAGGTTCCTTGGCACGTCTAGCCCTTGGAGCTTGTGCTGTTCCCTCCTCTGGCCCTTTCATGCTAACCCAGGGTCGTCTCCTGCTCTCTGAGAGGAATAGTAATAGAAACTTGGCTCATGGTTAGCACACACTCTTGTCAGTGCCTCTTGCCACCCTTCTCAAGGTTTCCCATTTTAAAGAGATCTGGTGATTGTCTGACCTATTTGGAGGATTTTTCCCTGTATCGTAAGTAGGCTTTTCCCCAGTACAGCTCCATTACGTTCTAATGTCCTAATTTCTTTCTATTTCTAGCTGACAACATAGTCATGCAGTTTGGACGTGTGGCAGAAGATGTGTTCATCCTGGACTACAGCTACCCGCTGTGTGCACTTCAGGCCTTTGCCATCGGGCTTTCTAGCTTTGACAGCAAACTAGCACGTGAATAAGAGAAACAGCAGGTGCCAAACTTTCTCACTCAGAGCTTTCAGGAGCGGATAATTGCCTCCTCTGCTTTTCCCCAGAACAATGAAGAGCGACAGCCTGCCCCTTGGGGAGTAATCCCCGAATGTGTGTGTGTATATGTGCGTGTGTACATGTATATAGGTGTATATGTACACATGCACATATACACACACACTCAACTTCTCTGGGTTTCACAGACCTGGTCAGGGGCCATAGCTTCATATGGGTGAGAAATGGTTCAGAGCACAGAAGGTTCCTGTCCAGGAACCTTTTGTATGCTACAGAAATAAAAGATAATTTATATAAAAATGTGAGTGTCGCCAGTCTTCTGTGCGAAGTCCCATCCCTTATGGAGTTCCTGCAGTCATGTTCTGGAATAATAATTTTCATCCTGTGAATTTCATCCTGTGAATCAGGATGCTATCATCCCAGGATAGCAGGAGTCTGCAGACTCAGAAGTCTGTCTCATCATATTCGTGACACCAAGAATTTTCTAGATAGATGATGGAGCCAAGAACTGAGCCAAGAGGGGGCCACAGAAGGGTGGGGTTTATATTGTTCTAGATACCTGCACTAGTCAGCCTCCTGGATCATCATCATCTTTTTTTTTTTAGGGACATCTCCTTTTGAATTTTTTTTTATTTGATTTATTTTTAAATAGGCTCTACACCCAGCATGGGGCTTGAACTCACAACCCTGAGGTCAAGAGTCATGTGTTCTACCAACTGAGCCAGCCAGGCACCCCTCCTGGATCTTTGTTGACATCACTTACTGATTCAGTATCTAAAACTGAAATAGACCCTGTCTCTTGCCTCTGAGTGTTCACATTTTAGAGCTACCTCACAGAGACAAGTTGAAAAAAATTAAAAAATTATGTGTTCACAAATCTTTACTAGGCCTTCCTGCTCTTATCAGTGTCATAGTGAAAATGAGTCACATGGAAGGAACCAGGAAGAGCGTAAAAATCAGGATGAGAGCTGGAGTCAGAGTTTAATTCTTAGGGCTTGGTTTTTCTTTTTCACATGGTTCTTTTTGGCTAAGGTGGACGGCTGGCTAAACAGATTATTTATGACACAATTTTTTGTATACTTTTCAGTGACCAGGAGTAATATCAATGCTTCATTGGGCATCAACATGAAAGATATCAGCAAGTGGTTTTTAAAAATCTAAACAGGCCTACAAAAGGTTCTTTTTGATCAGAAGTTTAGCAGATCACACAACTAGCATCAATCTAAATGCCTTTAGACAGCATTATAGGTACAGAAATAAAGCAATAGTTTGATTGAGGCCAAATCCCAGGGTTTTGAACCCTTTTCTGCTGATTTGCCATGCACCTCTTTCCTCCTCTATACATTGAGAAGTCTCAAACTATATGATTTTCAATTCTTGCATATGGTTCTCCCCACTCATGCAGACAACAATGTGGAATTCCTCTACTTGTATTTGGAATTGAACTCTCTGGTTACCTTCTGGACAGCATCTTGCCTTTCATAGCTGAAGATAATGCTGGGAGGAGTGCCAGAGATCCCAGAAAAAGACCACGGATGCTTAAGCTAAGCAACCGGAGAGGGCAGATTCTGAATGTCTTTGGTGGGAGATTCTGGAATGCCAGGAGTGCACGATGTGGGAGAGGCAGGATCTGGTGCTGAGGAAGTGCAGGACCTCCGGGCTGCTTTTCCCCAACCACTGGAGATATCTTGTTCCACTGAGAAATCCCTGGGAAGTTGCAAGCTGCCCTTCTCCTCAGCCTCCAGCTCCCCATCTAGATATAATGGCTCCTGCATAAGTACTCATGCCATATGCCTAAAGGCTGCTTCCCTCCATCTATAGCCCTGTTTTAATCTTTCCCATGTGAAACTCAGCTAGGGGCTTGCCAGGGACTGGCCAGATCCTGTCCCACCCCTCAGACACATTTCTTGATCGATTGCATATTGATCATTTTGCCTTCTCTCCCCGCTTTGGTTGCCTAGTTGTCATAGTCATTGTATATTCCTTAAAAGTCTCACAAACTCCTCTCATCTGCAAAAAGCCAGGGATACCACAATAAATGAAGGATTTGCCATTGGTGCTCAGAATTTAGGCAAGCCTTAATTAAACCACAGATGGGTTCGTGGCACCACCTACCGACCACGGATGCACATTACAAGTGCATTAAAATGAAAAGCACAGATTCTGTAATCCAGAGGAGGAAGTCACGAAGGGCTCAGTGACTTCAACACCTGGACCATGTTATCACGTATTTACAAAGCACCCTTGTGCTTCGGTGTGACTCTTCTGAAGGTCTGAGAACAGTAATACTTCTGGAGTTTAGAAGCCAGTAGAGGTATTCCAAGTAAAATGCCGGCACTTGGTATAGGATTGTGGCAAATATCAATATCACTTTTACTAACATCCTTTTAAAATGGAGTGACACATTTAAGATGACATTTTTAGCCATGCAGTTATAGAAAATGGTTTATATGCACTCAGAAAGAAATTCTAGATGGTTTTCCAGGGCCTATAATGAGAGGAAAGAAAAACAATAGTTTAACTGGGAAACTAAACATCCAGGTTCTAGTGTCAGCCCTGACCCGACCTCACATTCCTTACTTTGTACCCATATCTCTATTTCTACATGAAGGAACAGCCTGGGCAAAAAATGCCCCTGATGTTAGTGGAAATTTTGGAAATACTTCAACTATGAAATGGGCCTCCCTGATTTTTTCTGGCTCTTTTGGTCCATCAGGTCCAAGCTCCTTTCACAAGGTTAGTCTAGGGCTAGGGCCCAAGAGTCTGGAGGGCAAGAAAAGAGAGGAAGCCCCAGAAAGGGCAAAGCTGGTGGGGGCCAAGGTGGGAGTGGGAATTTTCCTGATCTATTACCACCATTTAGTACACGTTTTGGTTTAAAATGCTGGTTCTCAAGCCTCAGAGTTTTAACATCTAGTTAGGTACTATCTACCCAGATTCTGTCCCTTATTATGATTTTCAAAGATTCAAAAAACACCAGTAGTTCTTTTCTGTAGTCTGGGGGCGGGAAGGCTAGAGAGGAAGAATGATCTGAGAGGAGAGTGGCAGGCAGAGGAGGGCTAGGAATTAGATCGAGATTTTAAAAATGGGGTGAATATGTAATTTCTAGGGTATACATGCACATCAGGACAAACTACATCCATATAAGATAGAAATTTGACCTTAAAAAATATGTCCTCATTTTGTCTTGAATCAATTTTATGTTGTTCTGTATCAGATATATAGAGATACGAATTCTAAATATTAATAATTTCATATGGTCTAAAAGAAACTTTAAAAACTACAATGAAAGCATCTGCCCATATCTGTCCCCTTCTTTTTCCCTTGCCCTGTTCCCCTCCTGTAGTTAACTCTTTTTAGTTTCCTTCTAGTGTATCTTACTAATATTTCGTTATGCAAAAATAAATGCATTTGTAACTCCCCAACCTTTGTGCACAAAATATGTATAGCATACTATATACTCAGTTCGACAGCTTGCTTACTATACCCTGGAGACAATCCCCTATCAGTAAATGCACACCTTCCTCATCCTTGTTTACGCTCCACAGTATTTCACTGTGGGAAGTACCAGTGTTTTTAATTAACCCCCTCTGTATGGACAATTTGCACATTAAGAAATTTTATCAGGGGAGGAGGGGGAGAAAAAAAAATTGTATCAGTGTGTTTTGAGGATATGCAGTGTTCCAGGGACCCGTGATACCTATTTCAATCCTCTTCTTTTTCACTCTTCACACTCAGTCACTACCACAACGTGACAGCTTTACGCTGGGTGCTCCCACAGCCCTGAATGCTTCCCTTAGCTCTGCAAGTGTTCTCTGCCGGCCTGCTAAGCAGCACCTGGAGGGTGGTCCACGGCTGCGCTGTCCCACACCTTAGCCACTAGTTGTGTGCCGTTATTTACATTTAAATTAATCAAAATGAAATTCTGTTCTTCAGTTGGGCTAGCTACACTTCAAGTTCTCAGTGGCCACAAGTGGCTAGTGCCTACCATGCTGGACGGTGCAGATAAAGAACGCTTCATGTGGAAATTCCTTGTCTAGCTCCCTCATTCGACCGTTAGTATCTCGAGGGGCAGGGATGGGGATTTTTCTCTGTTTCTCCTTGGTGCTTCCCTAGCACAGTGCCAAGGACATCATCCGTGTTCAATAAATGTGGAGTGGGAAAATGAGTGATGAGGACACGGGGCTCATGGTCTAAGCGTGCCCAAGGTTACAGTCAGCATGCGTCTGAGCTGTTATTTGAACTCAGATGGTTTAGGTGCCCAGTAAGGTCATAATGACTTATGTTAATTTTCAAAATATTGAATCTGTAGCTACTGCAAATGAAATCTGTAGCTGAATAAGACCGCAGAAAGCTTTTCCTTCCTTTCGATTTTTTTTTTTTTTCTGGAAGTCTTGGATATCTGAACCTAAAGATCCCCTGGGAACCTCAGAGAAACTTGCAGGTGAGAATTGGGTGGGGAAGGCCCCAAGCTCTAGCCTCTGGAAACCCAACAGTTTGTTTCAGCCTGTAAATACACTGGATGAGTTTGCCAGGGCTGCCATAGCAAAATACCACACTCTGGGGGGCTTAAACAGAAGTTGACTTCTCACAGTTTTGGGGGCTAGAAGACAAAGATCAAGGAGTTGGCATGTTTGGTTTCTCCTGAGGCCTCTCTCCTTGGCTTGCAGATGGTGGCCTTCTTCTTGTGTCTGCGCGTGGCCCCCCTCTGTGAGTGGTCTGTGTCCTTCCTGATCTCTCTCCTTATAAGGGCACTGGTCAGCTGAGATGAGGGCCTCCCCTAAAGACCTCTTTTTTAACTTAATCACCTCTTTAAAGACATTATCTCCAGATCCACTCACACTCTGAAGTACTGGGGATTAGGACTTCAACGTGTGAATTTGGGGGAGATACAATTCAGGCCATAGCAACTCCTTAGTTCTCTAGATAGACTTAGAGTCAATCCTCTTTCCCATTTATCTTTGACAAAGAGAGAACA